TTGGGATCTGGTAGCCAACATTAACCCTCACAAAGAAATAGCAATGCTAACTTCTTCTCCATCCTGGTCTTGGTTGAGCCTACTAGCCCTTTCTACTGTGTGCTGTCATTGCTTCCTGGAAGTGAAAACTTCCAGATGCACTGAGGGCACCTGTTCTGCTGAAGTCTAATTGATCTCAGCACTAACCGAAGGTCCTGGCTTGAAAAGCAGCGGCTCTTCCTTCCCCAGAGGGGTGTTCTAGATGTTCTCAGCCACCCACTCTCATCGTTACTGTGTACAGCGAATTTTAGGATCATGGAAACATGGGTAGTAATGTTGGGCTTCAGTTTTTACTGCTGAGGTTTTTGAAGTAAGAAGAAAAATTTAAAAGCTCATTAGTAATTAGAAATTGTAATCCTGCTGAGGACACATTTTCCTGCTACTGTAACCGTAAAACACCACGATAAATATAAAAATATGCTAGAATTTGGAAGGAATATTTGTGTCCTCATTTTCTTTTTAAACCCCATCAGAACTACTCTGCGTCATACAGTGTCCTTAAATAAATGAATTACCATTAAATACAACATAACCAAATATTCCGCTGTTTGCTTAAAACAGCAATAAAGCTGTTAGCAGTTTTTACACCTTTTTAAAAAGGTGAGAAATGCTTTTATCACCCAGGAAGCTATAATTTACGTGAGGACAATTGTTTGTTCTTGTAGGTGATAGTTGATCTGTTTTGCTAATTTGCTCATATAAAGAATATTCATTGAGTGCAGTAGTATACTGGGCACTGTATATTTGTAAAAATACAGACCTGGGCTTTGCATCCTCTTCTTGTAGTCTGTTCCTAGCCCTACCCTGTCTATCTGTCTGTCTGTCTCCCTCCGTCCTTCCCCCTCTTCCTCTTTCTCTCCTCTCTTCTTCTTTCCCATCTCTCTCATTTCCTGTTTGTTTAGTGTTTCTTCACACGCATGTATACCATGTGAGTATACGTGCCTACGGGGTTCAGAAAAGGATGTCAGATCTCTTGGTGCTAGTTACAGGTGGTTGTGAGCTGCCTAGTGTGAGTGTGGCCAACCAAGCTAGGCTTCCTCTGGAAGAGTAGAATGTGCCCTTAACCACTGAGCAATCTCTCAAGCCCCATCTCCTTTGTGCTTGTGTTTCTCGTTAATAGTATCTTTAAATGGGACTGAAGAGATGGTTCAGTTGGTAAAGCATTCTCCTTGAATGTGTGAGGACCTGAGTTCAAATCCCCAGAACTCGTGTTTGAAAAAAAAAGCCAGATATGACATCTTGTACCCATAAACCCAAAGGAGATGAGATGGGAGGTGGAACTAGGTGGATTCCTAGAAGCACACTGGCCAGCATGCCTAGCTTCGTGGCAGCTCCAGGCCAATGAGAGACCCTGTCTCAAACAAAACAAAGGAGTGGAGAAGGCTTCTGAACAACAGTATCTGGGCTGCCCTCTGACCTCCAAATATATGCTGTGCAACCCATACCAACATGTAGGCCATTTTACTTATATATATTTTAAGTCTTTGATAGTACAGCTTTGAAATGGTGTCTTAGTATTGCTTTAGTTGAAAATGAACTCTTTCTTCCTCATCTAGTGAGGAAGCATGGCCGCCCCTGCAGTGAGTCTAGAGATGCTGAGGGTTTCGGTAGCTTGATCTTCTGCCTCCACCCAACAGCAGATGTACAAAGCCAGGGTTTTACTAATTCTTTTTTTTTTTTTTGATTGTGTGGGTAGACATGCCTTTGTACAATGGTATCCACAACTCTCCAGTGTGGTTGGGATATGGCTTAGTGAGAAGATATGACAGGCACAAGAGGCCAGTGTCTGACACATAGGTTTAGAAGCTGCAAGTTAGAAATGCTGGCAGACAGATCCAAGCTACTTCTGAAGAAACTGCTCCTTAGTTATCTGTCATTGGGGGAAAGTATATATATATATATATATATATATATATATATATATATATATATATTTCTCCCTTGTGTCTATAGGATATGCATATAGCATGCATTGAGTTCTCTAGATAAAGTCAGTAGGATGAAGGAGGTGTGTAGACACAGCTAAAAGTACTGTGACAGTTTGGGAAGGAACATCAGTAGCAGTAGCCCCTTCTCCATCTTCAAGTCCTGTCCTACACTGTGTCTCAGAGTCACTCTTCATGACAGTGACAAAGTATAGTTTTAGAATTTAGGAAGAATAGGTTTTTATTAATGTATTTATTCCCTCTCTGTTTCTGTGTGTCTGTCAGTCTGTCTGCCTTCCTCTTCCTTCTCCTCCTTCTCTTCCTCTGCTTCCTCCTCCGTGTGTGTGTGTGTGTGTGTGTGTATGTGTGTTTCCAGATTCCAAGAGGTCAACATTGTATATTTTCCTCAGTGATACTCAACATTTTGTTTTGTTTCATTTGTTTGTTTTGAGACAGGCTATCTCACTGAACCTGGAACTGGCTAGTAAGATGCAAGGATTTACTTATCTCTACTTCCCTAGTGCTGGTATCTGTGGGCATGTGCCACCATGCCCGGCTTTGTATCTTGGTACTAGGATCTCTTAACCCAGGGTCTCAAACTTGTAGAACAAGTAATTTTGCATCTGAGTCATCTCCCAAGCCTGAGCATATCCTCTTAATTGATAGTGTTCCACAATGGCTGTCACCAATAACTCTATTAGGGCTCTGTTCTCAAGTCCTGTAGCTTTTAAAGCATGGTTCCAGAAGGTTCCAAGCCCTTCAGAGCCTATCTATATTAGCTCAATTTCTGCTCCCTTTCCCTGGAGGAGGAAGGAACCATCCTTTCTTCTCACCCTTGTGTTTGCAGCAATGGCTGTGGTGGTAAGAGGCCATAGCTCATGTAAGCTTACAGTATCCCTTCTCACTCTTGCTTTAGTGAGTGTAAAACTATTCCTCTAATATGTTCTTAATATTCCAGAGGGTAGCTAGGAATACACAAGTTTAGAGTATGTCCGTATTCTGTGGCTTCTCTAATGAAGGCTATTTTGCCCCTAGGATATATTCAGCAATGTCTGGACATCTTTATATGTTGTTGATTTAGGGCCTCCTCGCTGCTCATATCCCGTAATGTAGGGTGTTCCCCACACATAACGTTCTCATAGACTTCCTGTGTTCATTACACGCTCATGCTTCTGTTCCAAGGAGCTTGTTTCTTGACCCAGGTAAGGCTTGTTGGAAATGTCTGACAGTCTAACATCTAAGAAAAGGACTCCATTCTTTTGATGTAATCGCCACAGAGAATGTCCTTAGCCTTTAGAATACAACCTCATCCTTACTAGTTTGATAAGTGTTTGTGAGCAATCATGACTCTAGTTGTTTCCCTAAATCTGATTATAGTTAATGTCAGGTTCTCCAGCATGCCTGTGAATGTGTAATTATGCCCATTAATAACCACCAGAAATTTAGCCCCTTTAAAATATTGAATTGTTTGGAAATATATGAAGGAAGTGTTCTCTAGGCCCCATGCCTTACTGAGGAGCCAGTTTATATATAGCTGCTGGGGGAGGGAGAACCATTCTCCTTTGAGAGTATGCATGGCCATTGTAGGTAGGCAGCCTCATACCCATGCTCAGATGGACACCACTGATTAGACATAGTGGTCTATCAGAAAGTGGGAGGGAGGAGAGGAGGGAGAGATGGAGAGAGAGAGAGAGAGAGAGAGAGAGAGAGAGAGAGAGAGAGAGAGAGAGAGAGAGAGGAGGAGGAGGAGGAGGGAGAGGAGGAGGAGAGGAGACATGAAGTTGTGTTGGGGGATACAACCTAAAGAGTTGGAGGGGGGAGTATGTGTGTGGGTATGGTCATATGTCATTGCATACGTGAATGAATTCCTAAAAGGATAATTAAAAATTTGAGGCCCAAGGATGTGGTTCATTTGGTAGGAGGCTTGCCTAGCTACATCCAACCCCAGTTCCACATAGAACCAGGTGAGATCGCACACACATGTAATCTTAGCACTCAGGTGGTAGAGGCAGGAGGATCAGGAGTTTGAGGTCATTGTTGATTACGTAGTAAGTTCAAGACCAGTGAGGAGTTCTTTAGACCCTATATCAAATAGGAAAAAAAAAAGATCAGAATAGAATATGCTAGACAATAAAAATAGCAGTGAACTTCATTCTGAAGCTGCTTCGAGGCTGGGCTACACCCTCAGATCATTTCTGTGTGTCATTAGCCACAGCACCATGTGGAGCAAGGATCCCTGCAGTGCTGAGGTAGGATGGGCCATGGCAAGGATTTCTCTCTCTGGACCTGTGTCTAGAAATAGTCTTACAGCCTCACTCCTTATCAGAGTCGCTTTCACACAGACTGGCTTGTTTTCTCAAGTCTGGCTGATGGGAGGCGGTTCCTGCGATCACTAAGATGTGATCATTTTAGGGGAGGTTAGCCACTTTAGAAACATTTAACAACTTTTGTGGCTCGTTTGTGGTACTGAGGAGGGTACCCACACACACGGGTGTGAGTGGGCAGATCAGAGGATGATGCTAGGTGTCCTATTCTCTTTTTTCTCCATCTTATTCTCTTGGAGCAAGGTAGAAATGGAACCCAGAGCCATGCTGGCAGCCAGCAAGCCCAACAGTCCTGTGACTTTCTTCCCCAAGCCCTCTACTCCCTAATTCAGGGGGTCACAGGCATGCATGGCTACACATGGCTTTTTATGTGAGCGTTAGGGATCTGCACTCAGGTCATCATGCTGATGCAGCAAGTGGTATTAGCCACTGGGCCATCTCACCTGCCTCCATCCAACTTTTTTACATTGTAGTTCAAAACATTCTCATCTACAGAGTTTGTGCTCAGGTACCATACGATAAAGTTACCAAAGAAAATGCTACAAAATCTATCTCCGAATATTTTACATTTATGAGTTAGTGTTGGGCTATGTTCATACATATCCTGGGTGCACACAGGCCACAGGTTGGCCATGCAGAAGCCTGTGGCAGAAGCCTGTGGCAGAGCCTGCAGAAGTTTTCAGTTTTCTTTCTTTTTTTTTTCCTTGCACAGATCTGAAGAAAACACTTGCTGTGTTACTGGATAACATCTTGCAGCGCATCGGCAAGCTCGAGTCAAAGGTGGACAATCTCGTCAATGGCACAGGAGCGAATTCCACCAACTCCACCACGGCTGTCCCCAGCTTGGTATCACTTGAAAAAATTAATGTGGCCGGTAAGGATGGCCGTTCCCTGCCCAGCCATGGGACTGAGCCCTTCCTAAAACCACAGCATCAAGGTTCTTACTGGGGCAATAAAAATTCCATAAACTTGACATGACTGTCGTGAAGGCAGGCTTTACATTTATTTTTTAATAACAGATATTGGGACATTTTTATGATTTTTTTTTCAGAATAACTGGTGGATTCTCTAACACCCAGGCAGATAATGAGTTCCCAGAATTGAGTTGTGCTGATAAGATTCAGAACGTAGATGAAATGAAATGCAGAGGTTATCAGAAAAGCTCCCACCAGACGAGTATTTTCCCTTCCCAACTCCTGTCAGATGCAGAAGCCTGCTAGCCTTGAATTAGCCGGGTGTGGGCATGCGCTCCTGTGATCAGAAGCCTGCTAGCCATCAGTTAGCCGGGTGTGGGCGTGCGCTCCCGTAATCCCAGTGCGTGAGAGCGGAGATCACTGAGGAGCTCAGGGTCATCCTCAGCTACTCAGTGAGTCTGAGGCTCTCCCGAGCTGTAAGAGGAAACTAAAACACCCAAGGGCCAAAGCTGGAAGTACTTTAACAGAAGGTAAGGTAGTGCTATTTTGTAACACAGAGCATGAAAGAAATTCTCAGCAGCTGTGGACAGATACAAATGAATGATTAAACTCATATGAAATAAAAGGAGAAAAATGGAAGAATGTAAAATAATTTTTCATTACACAAATTTTACTCTGGCAAGCTGGGAGGAGATGTAAAGCAGGCAGGAGGATCGAGGATTGAAGGTCATACTTTGTGGCACAGCCTGGGCTATATGAAAGCCTGTCTCAAGAAATAAAGACAAATGCCAGGTAGCCATCGTGATAGATACAAATTCCAAGATTCTGGAAGTTAATGTGACTTGCTATTCACTGCCTGTGGTACCTTCTCTCCCTGCCTTGCTAAGGCATGGTTGCCACTGCACAAAATGCCTCTTTGTACACATGGAGCACCAGACAGGTAGAAAAGCCTTCTTCTGGCCCGGTGCCATGAACACTCATGGGCACTGCCATGTGATTTCCACCGGGATGTATCCTACCTGGCCCCCTCTTAACTTTGGGATCTAAGACAAGAGGATGGAATGAGTTAAAGCAAAACCTAAGTCTTACACCAAAGGCTTGTCCACAGACTGCATTGGGTCCACCTTCAGATCACAACACCTTGGAGTCCACTCCTGGCCTATCTGTGTGCGAGCCCTAATTCCTCTTGGTAGCATGACCATAGAATCCAGTGTAGGACTAGAGGGGGGAGCACTTTGGATACAAGTGCTTGTGAACAAGCTGTCTGGACTTTTCATATGTGGCATTCCCTAACTGATTAGAAGATAAACTAAGGGGCTGGAGAGATGGACGGCCCAGCTCTTAAGAATACTGTTGCTCTTCCAGAGGACCTGGGTTTAATTCCCAGCACCCATATGATGACTCACAACTGTCTATAACTCCAGTTCTAGGGGATTTGATGCCCTCTTATGTCCTTCTCAGGCATCAGGCACACTCATGGCACACAGACATACTTGCAGACAAAGTTCCCCCTACCCTCCGTATTATATTCATGAGTTTACTTGTTTGTTTGTTTATAAAATGAAGTTAAGAAGTAGCTATGTAGCCTGGCAGTAGTGGCACACACCTTTAATCCCAGCACTTGGGAGGCAGAGGCAGGAGGACTTCTGAGTTCGAGGCCAGCCTGATCTACAGAGTGAGTTCCAGGACAGCCAGGACTATACAGAGAAACCCTGTCTCAAAAAACCAAAAAAAAAAAAAAAAAAAAAAAAGAAGAAGAAGAAGAAGTAGCTATGTTACTTTTGAGTTTTTAAAGATCCAGCTTTTAGGGGGTCTGGGATGGAGCTCAGTTGGCAGAGTGCTTACCTGTCATCCGCAGAGCCCTGGGTCCTATCCTCAGCACTGCCTAAAACAGGGAGCGGCAGTCACACTCTATACACTCATGTGTAGGAGGTGGACGTAGTGTGATCAGACACTCAAGGTCATCTGCAGCTACGTGGCCAGTTCCAGCCCACACTGGGATATAATCAGCAAACAAACCAATACATAAAAGCTGCTTCCTCTCCCTTCTGTTCTTCTGACATGGACATCTTTTCTCATGGACCTAAAGGTGGGAGAGATTTTTCTCTCCCCTTTCCTACCTCTCAGAGTCAAAACAGTGACTGCTTCAAATTAAGCAAGCTGGGTGGATTACCTTTTTCTTTGGCTTTTTTGACATTGTGCAACTTTTAATTCACAAACTATTTTGAATAATCCCAGTATCTCACCAAAGTGTTAAAAATAACTTTTAATTACAATACAGAGACAGTGTCATCTAGGCCATAAATCCTGTCTTCCCTGCCATTTCCAACAGTTTCTGTAATTAGACAAGGAAACCTCCCACTGTGTTGAGCTGCTTATTAATAAGTGGGTGCTGTGCCTCTCCAGGCTCTGCTTTCAGTGCCCACTCCACTGGGGATGCATGTGGAAAGTTCCTGACTGACTGCATCGTGCTTCTGTGTTATCTGATTTGAAAGATGGGGTGCTGTCTCCTCCTCTCCTTCCTCTCCCCATTGTGTGTGTGTGTGTGTATGTATGTGTGTGTATGTGTGTGTGTATGTGTGTGTATGTGTGTGTATGTGTGTGTGTGTATGTGTGTATATGTGTGTGTGTATGTGTGTGTATATATGTGTGTGTGTATGTGTGTGTGTGTATGTGTGAGTGTGTATGTAGGTATAGCCTACTTACTCTTCTACATGCATGTAGAGGTTAGGAGCCAACATTGGATGCTTCCCTCAATTGCTTTCAGTTTTATTTGAGGCCAGATCACTGATTAGGCTGTCCCGATTGGCCCCAAGTTTCCCCCTGTCCCTACCTAGCTCTGAGACCTTATAGGTGCACTTTTATGTGTGTATGAAGTTCTCATGGGCATGAGACAAATACTTTACCTACTGAGCCATTTTCTAAGCCCCCAGGATGGTTTTCTTTCTGTTTTTAGGTTTGTTGTTCTCTGGTCATCTATCCATGAACTGGATAGACTTTTATGCCATCACTCTCTCCCTGCTCTGTGGCCCTGTGGCCTTTGGTTGTCTTGCAACCAGGCGATAGAGAGAGGCTGCTTTTCTTGAGTGTCAGATCCTAGAGCACAGCATCATGAGTGAACTCAGGAATGCCATGGTGTAAATGCTTTCAAATGGGACGCTTTCTGGACCTGGGTACTGTGCTAACAAGGGTCTGAGGGGCTCGTTCTGGAAGCTAGACTCAGATAGAAGCATCTTTAAATGTGCCTCCACAGATGTGCTTCCAATATTTAGTGAATTTAATATAATAAAACACCAGAATGAAGGGCTGGCAAGGTGACTCACTGATTAAATGCATGTACTGCTCTTGTGAAGAACCCAAGTTCAGTTCCCAACTCCCGTGTTGGATCACTCATAATCACTTGTAACCTCAGTTCTAAGGGACCTGATGCCTTCCTCTCATCTCTGTGAGCATCTGCACCCAACAGTACATACTCACTCACATATACATAATTTTAAAAAAAGAAAAAAATCAGGATGATGCTGTTTTTTTTGTTTTTTTTTTTTTGTTTTTTTTTTTAGTTTAAGAAATAGGAGTGAATTCAGGATCAGAATTATTTTGTTTTGAGACAGGCTGTATATTAGTTGCTTTCCTGATGCTTTGATAAAACACCACGACTAAGACAACTTAGAGAAGGAAGGGTTTATTTAGCTTGCCAATCCGAAGAGATAGGGGCCCATAATGGCAGCTAGCATGAGGGTAGAGCAAAAGCTGGGGGTTCAGATCTTGAATTAGAGCAAGAAATAGAGTGAGTTCCCTAGAAGTAGTTTTCGTCTTTAAACTCTCAAAGCCTTCCCCCAGTGACATACTTCCTCCAACAAGACCACACCTTCTCAACCTCCCCAACCAATGCCATCAACTGGAGACCAAGTATCCAAATGCCAGAGACTATTAGGGACAAACCACCACCCGGTCTCTTGTTTCCTAGGCTGGTCTTATGCAGCTAAGACTCTCTGAGCCGCGCCCCCCCCCCCCCCCCCGTCAGTCAATCCATCTATCCATCCATACATCCATCTAGGTTTCAAGATATGGTTTGTCTCTGTAGCCCTGGCTGTCCTAGAACTAACTTACTCTAGGCCAGACTGATCTTGAACTCTCAGGATCCACCTGTCACTACCTCCCAAGTATTGAGATTAAAGGTGTGTGGGACCACACTGGCAATTCTGAACTTCTTATCCTCGTCCCTCCACTTCCCAGTGGTGAGATTATAGACTTGAGGTACCACACCAAGTTTATGGGATGCTGGGATGCAACCCCAGGTTTTGTACACATTGGATAAACACTCCACTAACTGCACCACATCCCTAGCCCGCAAATTAAATGTGTAATAATCAACCCCAAGCTCCCGCCTTTGTATCCTTATGTTTAGGTACACTCCAGACCTTCAGTACACTGGATAATTAGGGAAAGACTATACACATGTAAAATAGCAATGTGGTGTTTTGTTGTGAGGCAGGATGACTGAGGAAGGCTTCTACAGGAAGTTATATTCTGGAGCTGGTTAGGATTGCAGCCTAGGAACCTTGTGGAAGAGAAGCTTCCTAGAAATGGATTGTGACCTTGAGAAAGTGGGGAAAGAAAGAGGAAGCTAAGAGCAACTATACAACTGATGCCTGTCACTTGCAGGGACCATATATTGACTTAATCTGTCTTGTATTTGAGTACTTGAGAAGCAAGTATTTTGACATGTGTTACTAAGTTTAAGTATTTGGGAATGGAAAGAGCCCTTGGTATCACGGTGTCTACAAGGCCACTTATGCCCTCTGTGTCAATTACTTAATCACTGCTGTGTCAAAGTACTTGGCAAAAGCAATGTCAGTGGGGAGGGCTTATTCTAGCCAACAGTTTGAGGGTACAGTGCACCATGGTGGGAAAGGACAGCATCTGAGTGTGAAGCAGCTGGTCACATGACATCCATAGT